TGTCAGTTATTTGCTGTTGTATCGCCGATTTTCAAAATGCGAATGATCTGTTTATTTTCAAAGAATAGTTTGTTTTGTTATTGTTTGGTTGGTGTCTTATATGAAACTGCGACACAGCGCAATTTATTGGACAGACTTGTTGAAGATCACACAACGTAATTTGGGTGGCATTTATTTCGTATTTTTAAATCATCTTTTTATTTTTGACTATCTGTAAATTTAGTTTCCTGCTCTTAATTGTGAATGCATACTTGACGGTTTTAAATGCTCCTGAAATTAAGTGCTGCTTGACGAGCCTATATTGTGTATGTATGTGACGTCACTGAAGGCCTAAGGTTGAAATGCACGGCCCGCCACTGGGCTAGCGTCATGTCTCCTACATGACGCATTCGCCGCAATCAGTCATTCCTGGAGCTGAAGACAAATAGTTATTTTGAATGAGGCCATGGACAGGTCATATCTTGCTTGTTCAAATCCACTGCCACCATTGGAAATGCTCCCTATTCAAGTTCCTCAATGTCACTGCTCTTCCAATTCTTTTTTTTTTCCAGCCGAGAATCTCAATCAATCAAATTTCAACGGTTAACTTTACCTCTCTCTATTCTTCTTTTAAAACTGTGTCATAATCTGAAGAGGTTGGAAAAAGTTATTTAAAAACTTATTTACATATATTTATGTTTTCAAATGTAGACTTTAAAATTAAAACGTTTTAAGAAAAAATTATGATCTTTTGTACAAATATCTGAAAAAAATCTCCACGGTACAGCTGTCATTGTAACACTTTGTCATGTTGTGTTTTGTTCATGGTACTGGTGTTAAAATGTGAACATCTTGAATAAATCAATCATCAAATTGCAAGATCCTCGTGCAGAATGAAGAAGGAATCTGTACACATTTTGTGCCACTTGATGTCGCCCAAAACTAAACAGAGATTGTGCAACCGCTGACACAACGAGGCAAAAGTTTTAAAGAGACAGTAAGTCTACAGACTGTGGGGTTTTGATCTTCTAAAGCGCCCCCTATTGTTTTGGAGTGTACATTTCTTTGTAGCCATGTGTTGACGGGCTGACTGAGATAAAAGCCTCAGTGAATAAATAAATACAGTAATAGATGTCATTTGATTTCCAATGAATGAATTTTCAAATAAAACAAGAACTGAACCCCCCCCCGCCCCAGAAAAAAAATCTACAATATAAATATCCCAATGAAAACATGTACTTGTCCAAAAAGGAGGAAAAAAAGTCAAACTTATATAGATCCTACAGCTTCACTGTTACTAAAGATAAATTAATAATCAAAAATACATATTTTCAGACAGTCCCTAACTAAAGATACAAAATAAATATGCACGTCACCCAACAAAAATCGTACGTACACATGCCCACAACCCCCTCGTACCCAATTGTTCTTCTCTATATGCATATATCTATATACATATACAGTACACTTCTCTCCTCCCTTCACAGGTTAAATTGCTCAAACAGTTTGAAAACAAACATATTGTATTTGCAATCTGTTTGGCAAGACCTCAATTGGCATTGTCCAGCATTCATGCTGTCCACTTGTCATCTCACCAATCTCCAGAGAATGAATGGGGGCAGGGGGTTCGACATTATCTCTGCGCAACTGAAGTTTATTCCCATGACTATGAAGTGTTGATCGCCATGTCATGCAATGCACAGTGTATCAGCGAAGCATTGAAATTGGTGAAAATCTTTCAGGTGGAGTTACCACATGTACACAAAAAAGGGAGATTTTGCTACCTGTCACTGTGAGGTGAATCCCTTAGCGAGTCGTAGGAATCTCCATAGTGCATTCCTGGACTGGAGACATCTGTACAACCCCAGTGGGCTCTCCTTGCCATGCAAGCTGGACTACTGCATTTACTGGTTCCAACAGAGCTGGACAGGCCACCAGACTGGCAGTCTGAATTCATGCTGTCTGTTCGCTCCATGCTCCACGTCTGCTCCTCGTGTCTGCAGACGTTAAGGACAGAAGTATTTTCAAAGGTTACAGTAAGACTGCCGAGGCATAAGGACAGAGAGGAAGGTTAAGGAACATATGAATGAAACATATATTGATTAACAAAAAAATCTATTTCAAGGAATTTACCCTTCCATGTCATTTTACTCTGGTTTCAACTGTCCTTTAGAATGTTTTTAACTGTTTGTTTCGTAGGAAAAGATAGCAGGGGTTCTAAATAATTTTTTTTGATCACCAGCCAGTATGGCTGGTGACTTTCTGAGGTTACCAGCAGATCAGCTTTTTTTTTTTTTTTTTAACTTGCTCTGCTGTTTTTATCAACCTCCCTCACACTGTCTCTGTTCGCTTCTCGCACTGGTTGTACTCAAGACTGTAGCGTATTGACCATATTCGCACAGCCAGTGTTGGGTTAATTTTCTGCAAACTCGTTCACAGTTCAATTCACAAATTCCAAAATGAACAACTTGAGTTCATAGTTCATAAATCAAAAAAATTAACTGTTAACCATAGACGACCAAAAACTTATTTTTTGTCTGTGTTTTTAAACAATATGTTGCTGCAAGCCATTACCCTCAAAATAATGGCAATTACCCAGTAAACTATACTTACATACAGTCCATCACCCTTTCACAACTCGTGGTGATGGACCGCACGTTCAGTGAACGGAGTTGTTGCCACCCATTCAGGCAGATCCAACTTCCACACTACGCTCTCATGAGGACAAAAATCATTGCTTGAATGTTCTTTCTTAAAATGAGGAATTGAAACAAAAAAAGGACTGTAGTCTTGAATGTCCAAGCATAAATGCAATCTGCGGTAGGAACCAGGCTGTGAGATGACAAGAGCTGTCACACACTCTAACTAAACGCCCCACTTGTCTTCAAGACGACCATAGAGCAACAACCCACCTGCGACTTCCGGCCAAAATTGTTGTTTTTAACTCCATTTGGTAGGCTGGCAGTTAGTGATTTAGAATATTGAAGATAACATGGGAGACTATGTTGCACCACCTTTCAAAAAAGAGGCTGGACCTGTCCATGAATGAATTCTCTCTTCGGTTAACAGACTGGTTTGTTTTGTGGAGCAGAAGCATGTGAATAAAGGATATTTTCACCCAAGATATGCGTGTGTAAGAGCTACCTGGATGCATGTGAGGCAGTGGTCGAATGATGTGAGCGGGTAGACATTCTGCTGCCTGCGTAGTTGCCAGCACCTTCAGCGCCGTGGCTGATGACACACTCTGTAGTCGGGACACTCTTGGAGATGTACTGTAAATCATGTACACACACTTTTTTACTCAGCAAAATAGATGATAAATATTTGGAGGCTTATGAAGTGTTGTCCTAGTCATTCTTTTTTTTTTTTTAATCAGGGGACTTGAACCAATAAAAAGTGCATTAGATGAATAAGATGAATGCTTCAGGGTTGATCCATTTCAAGGAGACAACCCGGAGAAAACGATTCAACCAAACAAATGTGCAAATGGGCTCTTCTCTTATTTTTTGCATAAGCACACTTTAGAAAACTTCTCTTGCAAGGTTGCGTGACCTCCTCATGGAGTATCTTCAAAAGGCCTCCTTCCCACTCCTTCAAAATCAGCAGTTAATGAGCATGCATCTTTGTCATGCAGTATGTAACTCATAGAATGCTTAAATGAGTGTGTTTGACCTCAGAGCACTGCGCTGCAACGGCAAGTAGTGTGGGGGCTTGTCACAGTATTGAGCTAGCCAATAATGTCGGCGGCTGTTGTGGCTGCCATCATTTATCGTTGCGGCGAACAAAGTGAACAAAGTCACGAGACAGGGATCATATGTGCCCATTTGCCGAGAATGTCGATTAGTTCATGCTGACTTCAGAATTACCTGTACCTATCTCTGCTGTATGTTTCTACTGTTTGGACTCACATCAACCATGGGAATTTCTTCGGGACCAGGCCCGGGGTGATTGGGCCCATTGGCCAGCATGCGGTTGGGTTGCTCCACACATTGATTCTGGTTCTGATGGAGATGATGTTGCATCTTCTTCCTGTGCTTCCTGTAAATTGCATTATGGGGAAACAATAACTGGTTTGGCAAAAGGGTTCATGTCAATTCAATATCCCTTTACGGCTTAGGGACTAATATATTGTCTTATATCTCATAAGTAAGCCTATTTTTGTGACAAATGAGTAGGTTACTCTTTTTGTTTTTAGAGTGGGTGAGTTTGACAACTTTCAAAAGTGGGTATTTTATTTTGTGCAGTCGATTCAAAAAGGACATACTTGGTTTTGCAGTAGGCCACCACACAAACGATGCCAACCACCAACAAGGCCACACAGATTCCTGTGATGGTCAGCATCCGCCTTTGGTAAAGCTCCTCGGCCTCTGTGACAGAAAACGCACACGTGCAAATACACACATTCATATGCGCACAAGACACGTATTTATGCATTGCAGACATAAAAGCACAGTACAGGCGCACCAATCATGCGCAACACACATCGAAACAGGAACACACACACATACATACTGCATGTTATCACATTATGCGCTACAACCTCTGATAGGTTGTTGTTTATTAAAATAAATTGCTGTTCCGTAAACATTCATATTTCTAATACGTGATGTATTTTCTTTTGATTATTTCTGCCTGCACGGTGTCTGCTAAACTATTTCATTTACTGAAGTATTACGGAATGAATAAATTCAAATTAGACATACAGTAAGTGAACCTAGATAGCTCCGTTATATGCAGTGTGCGCAAAATTGTGACATGGCTGTTAGTTTTAGATGCACTTCAGTCATACATAATGCTTCTATCACACTTAAGACAACATTTTACATACCATTATGAGAGGGAACAGACATTTGAACGCATGCTTGCATAGATGCAAATGGAAAGTCAAATTTAAAATGAAATAAAAAGTGTTTACACCACAATAAAAGCATTGAATGTTCTGATGCTCAAAGCTAACTGAATTCTGGGCCCTCAAAAGAATCTGAAAATTTATTATTTGACCTTTGAAGATCACTTTGCAATTAGTTTGAGTTAATCGACAGATTTTGAGATTTTAAAGAGCACTGACAACGGTATAAATCCCAAATTATTATGTGAAAGATATTTGGCTTTCGTTTATTTCAATTTGCAGGAGAGATGTTTTCTAAAAATATTGATGATAGTGAGTTTAATTAAAATGTTACCTTACATATCACCTAAACTGTTAGCAAGTGGGTCACGCACTTGTATGTTTTCTGGCAATTTATTCAGGTGCTAGAATAATAAATGTTTCCTTCTTAACAATCGTGTTTCGGGGGACCAAAATGATAACTGTATTTTTGCTCAGACAAAAGAGAAATCATACATAAAAGGGTGGGGGGGGAAAAATCTGCAGAAAACCTAAGCTGGCTGAGCGTAGGCAAGTAACGTGCACTAATCTGCCCTTTGCTCCTCCTTTGCTGTTGCCTTGACTTGGAAAACCATCCTTGCAAGTTGGCAGACAATCAGTCGGGAAGGGAGGACAATACAGCACAAAGAAGCAAGCACTGGGAACCCAAGAAAAATTCATGTAGTCCCAGACGATAAAAAAAATATAAAGGGACTGTAGACATGTTGCATAAGTCATGTAATAATTTTACAGCCCCATTATGGGAAATACATGATCTACTATACAGTACTGTAGTTATACTACTCTGCGCTTCAGCAAAAAAAAAAAGTGAAGCACTATACCAAGTTTAAGAGTATGCTATTTGAAACTGCCTGGAGCCTGTCATGATCCTGTTCTTGTGTGTCTCCAGCAGGTGGCACATGTGGGCCTTCCCCTCTGTGTGCACACCTGCTGCTTGTCAGATTATTTGACAAGTTGCTGCTCTTGCTCAAGTGTTTGTTTTCTAGACCTCTCGCTCTCATTGTAGTCGTTCGTGTTCCCTTAGTTCCACGTTTTTTTAAGTATAGTCTTTGTTTAGTCATTTGATCTTGCTTTTGTTTTGTCGTGTGAATTGGACTCTGTCATTTCGTTTGGTATTCTTGGTTTAATTATTTCCTTGCCATTTGCAAGCACTTTTTGTTAATGGATTGTTTTTCCTGCATCCTTGTGACCAGTCTTTTCTGTTTTGGACTTTGTCGGCTTTGCGCTTTCGATAACAAACATTTTTGTTGTCGCATTTTGTCTGTGTCTGCATTTCTGGGATCTGAGACATTATTCGGGGCATTCCGAACCTGACAGAGTCCTTGTAGACCATTGAGATTTATCTAGTTTGTATGTTAAATTGTTTTACTGTGGTGTAACACTAAAAACTGAGGAATAAAAGAGCAACAGCACAACAGCGGGGTGGAGGGGGGGGGGGGTCAAACTAAGGGACAAGAAATGAAAGAGGGAAAAAAAATGTCCTAAAGAGCGTAGGGAGGAACCAAGATGGGAAGAGGAGTGGGACGGGGCTGATGAGGAATCAAGAGAGTCCAGGAGGGTGAAACTTTTTCCCAGAAGCAATAACATAACATTGTACTTTAATCAACTCAAAGTGGATTTTAAAAGCTTGTCGGTCATGCCCTAGTTGATATCGCTGTAAGAATTCAATGTCATATGCAACTAAACCACAAACTTCGGTGAATTTGTCCAAATTAGCTCACTAAGTGAAAAAAAAAATGCCGGAACTGTCAAATACGCTGACCAGCCTATTGACCCTTTGCACAATATGTGCAAGGGGCCAAAGCAAAAATTGTATCTGTGACTAATAGTTTGGTGACTTCAATCAAATTGCATGAGCGTACGGTAAACTATTAGTCACAGCTTTCGTTACTTTTCCACACCACTGAATACTTCAATTAAATTCTTTTTCGGGGTAAATGCATACTTCTCTTACAACTTAACAGTATTAACTCTTTTGATACAACGCTCGTATTTTATGTTCCTTATACTCTGCAAGTAGATATAAAGTTGTGGCTGGTCAGCGAATATAAGCTATGCTAGTTTTAAAGCAACATAGCTATAAACAGAGAGAAAAAAAATACCTCTGCTTTGTGGAGATGGAGGCAAATCCAAATGATCTTTACCAAACATATCTTTTTACCTCTATGAAGGGGCTATAGTTTCTAAAAAGAGGCCCTGAGTGGGAATTGATGAGCCACCGGTAGCTTTGGCCCTGCATCGTGCGTGTATCATTGTGCACTGATACAGAAAGCCAAGGGAATTGGGAAGGCAACCTCGCTTGCACAGCGGAGCCAACAGCATTTGTGAATTAGGACAGGCCCGCCCTTTGCCTTATCTCTGACACTGACTCAATCAAGGGCACAATAATTAGGACAAACAATGTGGTCATGGCTTTTGGAGCCCTCGGCAACACTTTGCAAAACTATTTGCGAGTGGTGTTTATTCATATTCTCACATGTGAAACAGTGTTTCTGATCTTCCATGTGATCCAGTCTATTCTAGGCCCTTTACATTTCCATAGAATTGGCTCTGCCCTTTCTAGCGTTAAAGTATTCATCTCAATTATCCTTTTTCGTCCTCCTTAACCAAGTTAGTCTATGAAAAAAGAGTGCATGCAGAGAAGGGGGAAGAGAGATTGCAAGTCTTAAAATTAGGTTAGTGGGCGGAAGAAAAGGAGGGTCAGGTTTGTTGGTTTTAAAAAGAAGGTGGCACAATAATGCGTGACTGTGACACAATCTTGGCAAACGCTTAAAGCACAGCAAAATAAACAATAATGTTCCATACCCATAAATTCAATTCTGAGAAGCTCTGCCAGCACAGAAAGTTGTTGTGGTAAAAAAGGAAAGAGATAAACAAGGGTCAGCTGTAATGTCCACTTTGTAGAGGATCTGCTGTATATTTTGTTTCTTCCCAGTACACGCTGAACCAGGAAGTCCATTACTGCTTTGGAATCTGTCAGTCAGGCAGACTGACATATGTGCCGTCCAGTAACAGACAGACAGTCACACAACCTCAGCTCTGTGAACCCCAAAAATATCAGGAAAAAAAAACAGAAGCACACCAAACACAAAAGAGAAAGGGTAAAAAAATGAAATCAATCAAGAACAAAAGAGAAATCAGCAGGCAGGAAAGTGCATGTAGAAACACATGGACATGGATAGCAAAACACAAAGTCACATCAGTTACTGCCATATTGATGACTGCCTATTTATAGAACATCGGACAGAAAAAAAAAAAAAAATACAACGCCAAACAAAACCAAATAAAAAGCTGTGAGATGGTTTCTAACATAAATGCTGAGGACAGATGATGATGGACTGACAGTCAGGTTGATGCTGTATCTTATTTGGCAACTCAACTTAAGCATTTCTTCCGCACTCATCTCTCCTTGTCCTGCACAAAGCTGTTAGAACCTTTTCTGAGTTTGTGTTGTGTTGCATGCATTAGTACAAAAAGAAAAAAAAAAAAGGAAGATGCTCTTGTCGACCCAAACCCGATCTACATTTTGACAGTGCTTTGCATTCGGAACACCATATAAGCAGACAGTAGGGCATCGCGATGATCTTCAAACAGCAGAAAGTGTTCTTTCAAACAGATTGAAAGAACACAATGCAAAATAATGACACACAAACATAAAGCATGGACAAGACATGTCTTGAGGGTGGAAACAAATACAGTATTCAGAAAACAGAAATTACAGTGTGTAGTCCTTACAAAGTGATCACAGATTATTGAAGACAGTTAAAATTTAGTGCACTGAAATACAAAACATTGAGGCTGGAAGATTAATTCCATTTGTCTCTTAATTTGTTTACATTTTGAATACATTTTTGGCAATTGCAATAATACTATTGCTGTTTTCCAATTAAAAACTGATGCCAACACATCCTGTTATTTTCATTTCAGAATTATATACCAAATTTTTTGTTTGACCAGCAACATTTTTGTTCTCACAGTCCCATGTCACATCATTTTGTAAGAACTACTGTCTATTCAGTCAAAAATCTAATATTGCCTAAAATTGATTAGGTATCTGTGTTGACAGTCAAGAAAAAGAGACCCAAAGGTTCAAAGATTGATAATGAATGTCGGTACATACAAATATGCAAAGCTAAAAGGAGGATTGAATTTCTCGATATTCTCTCGCTATCCGTGTGTGTGTGTGTGTGTGTATATATATATATATATATATATATATATATATATATATATATATAGAGAGAGAGAGAGAGAGAGAGAGAGAGAGAGAGAGAGAGAGAGAGAGAGATTTTGTTTAAATTATTTTTGGCACCTTTTAATCAATTTTAGATGAAACAATGATGGTTTTGCATGCAACAGTGCAAGGATGACACAACACACACAAGAACAAGCAGGAACACCACCACCCCTCCCCTCCCATTTATATCCCTGGTGGTCTTGAGGCAAGTTATATGACTTTTTTTAAACATATAAAAGAGCATTGCAATAGCAGCAGCTGATCCTGATGTCAGTAACTGACTGGTGTGTCATATTGCTCATGCAATGGCAATGGAGAGCTAAACCAAGCCCAATTTGCACTTTGCTTGAGTAAACATGATTTTCATTCAGAGTTACCGGCCAGGAAACAGTGAAGAGGGTTTTGCAAAGAGTCTAGAGCAGGGGTCACACTGCACGTTTTAGATGTTTTCATCCTCAAACACATCTGATTCAAATGATCAGGATCATTCTCAGGCTTCTACAGAGCGTGCTGGTGAGCTCAAGGCCTGAGTTGGTGATCCCTGATCTAGAGGATACAAGCAGATTGGCTCCGTTGGACTTGGTTTTGACTATGATTACGGGATTTAAACACAATGTTAAGCAAAAATGTTGGATTAAAAAAAAAAAAAGAGGTATTCAAGGTCATTCGAAAATGTTGATCGCAAAGCGGCCTTATTACATCAGTGAATTGTCAGACTGTTTATCCAGCATGTAAACTGAATAATTATTCTATACGTAGATCACAGTAACTTACTGTTAGTCATTAAATTGAGTTTTGTTGTATTCGTCTACAGAAGTATATGTGACTTTAACATACACATACAGCTAGCTATGCTGCATGTACCTGAAAAGATTTTGATGCTTGAGACAGAGCCAGGCTTGCTATTTCTGCTTATGTAAAGATAATTTCTATCTCCCAGTTGGAGGATTTGTCTTCTCATCTTTCTCTAACTACTGCTTTCATTTAACCACACAGCTTTATCTTACAATTTAGCTTCATGGAAAAATGACATCACGTAACAGATGACCCATTGAGATAGAGGATGAAAACAACAGTCGCAGTAGTAGGCTTTATCCTTGTTCAACCTCCATTGAAGATACATAGTACGTTATCACAGAAGGGAAAGCCCTCATCAGTAGCAATGGATGATGATTCTTTGTCTCATTGCCTTACTTGGCTAGTTAAAGCGCCCCACTTTAGTTCAATCTATGAGAGTCTGCCCCCACAGCAATTGTGACTGGCCGGTATTCAAAACAGCGTCAGAAGGACAGAGAGTATTGTTCACCATGTACGGACTTAAATTGACACTTTTGTTCCAATTGCGCAAATTGAAGCAATAATACTGTTTTTTTCTCAAATAGTAGCCTCCACTCAACCCCCACAAAGCTTTCATTTTTCCATCGAAGAAAATTAAGAAGAGGTGGTGCCAAAAGGTGGCTACAGTCACGTTTATTGTCACTTATATTAGCATGTCTCATGGGAAATTATAATTCCCATAAGCAGACATGGCATCATCATCGTTCTTGTATGTGTTAGTGGTTGAGCTGGAGCCGAACCCAGCTGACATTGGAGGAGAAGCTGGGCACACCTTGGCCTAGTCGCCAGTCAAGCCTCGGGCACTTCCAGATGAATTATTAACATGTACATTCACACCCATGGGAAATTTAGAGTCCTCAATTAACCCAACCCGTTGTTGAAACGCAGGAGGGTCTGAGACTACGTTCGAACCCAGAACCTCTCGACTGTGAGGAAGACATGTTCGAAAGTGTTCCACTGTGCTGCCATATCCACTTAAAGGATACACGTTTGAAATACTTCTACCACAAACGTCTGCAGAATGCCGAATATGTCTGCCTGTGGCTCGATCCAATACACCAAAATTGTGTCACAATATCTGCACCACCATTTAGACCTGATTTTAGGTAGTCTACTTTTTGTTACCAAATTGGTGGGTGTGCCGGGGGCGTGTAATAGAAAACACCCTTGGACCACTGGAACGCAGAGTGATGCGCAGCACACTAAATTACACTTGCCCCGGCGTGAAAATGAAGATGTGCCCATTTTTAACCTACCGCATATGTGACTGTCTATGAAAAGAGGGCCCATTATGTTGTTATTTATATAATTTCTAATGAAATATAATGATTAAATGGTGGCCATAATTATCAATAAACCAAATACACTATATACAGTTGCACAAAAAATTATTACATTCAAGTTGACGATAATGAGCCATAATTAATTAGTTAATAAAATAGTTTATGTGTTTAATATTAATACTTTTGAGATACTTAAATTGTTCCCGTTTTGCCGGTTCAGTCCGATTGTCAGTCGAAAGTGCGTAACGTTGACATGTATGTGTCATTGGTAAAGAGTAAGGGGGGTGGCTGTGGGAGGTGTTGTGTAATTTTGAGTTCAAATGGGTATACAGTACGGTTCATCAATGTTGTTAAACATCTATTTCTACAAATGAAGAGCAGCCCTAATAAATACCTTAACCATAAAGGTGTCCTTATCAGCTAAAGAAATTAAAAGCTCTTGGCCACAATGTGAGGAAACCACATGCAGTATTATGCTTGAAGGTTCCAATTTTGCCATGATTGGTTTAGCCGCACCAAAGGGTACAGTTCAGTTTACCATGAAATAAAATCCTCTTTAGTATCCAGGGTAAACTTTTGAAACAATTTGAGAGTGTATGTTTCTAAAATCTAACACGATACTGTTGACCAGAGGGGCAGTGGAGAAACGAGTGATCACACAGCATGCAGACACACGTATACTGTATATACAGTATGTAAGATACAAGCCCTCTAATGTAGCATGCTGCATCTCAGTGGAAGGAGACAGACAAGAGCAAACGGACATACTGTAGAAACCGGCCATGACGGAGTTTTCACAGCGGTCCCCCGTATAGTCATTGGGACACCTGATGGAGGGAAAATCAACACACAGAGGGGATAGAGAAGGATTTGGGGTTGAAGATTACAGGGGAGGGAAAGTGGGGTATATCAGGAATATTTAGGAGTAAAACACAAATACAGAGACAGGAAAGAGAGGGGAAAAGGGGTAGGAAGGAGACACAAGAAAGCATAGAGAATGTTGAATTAGAAACAACACAATTCACCAAGTACAGAAAAAAAAATGGCCTGCATACTGTCACATCACCGCCATCAAAACCTGACGCCAGTGATACAGTAAGGGCATCGTCACAATCATGAAGGTCATGGGATGGTAGTCTGGGAAGTAAGGGTGGCAAACACCCAACCCCTACATTTACATAAACACACACATAAACATATAATGTATACCGGGCACTTCATTAGGTGCATTTGCACAACCTAATGGGTAAAACAAACATGAACAGTAACTAGGATAAGGTATAGGAAATGCTCAGTTTTGGCTGACCAAATAGGATATGACTCAAATTTAGGATATAACACATAATAAGCATTATTTCTGATCTGTTCAAAATAAAAATCTTGGATATGAAATTTATATTCTTATCCCATTGTCTATTAACTAAAAGGCAGCATGAAACATGAAAACATGACAATCAATCAGACACTAAGGGCCTGATTTACGACAGGTTTGTGCGTGCAAAAACGAGCGCAAACTGGATTGCATTTATATTTGCATTTTGTGCATCCTGGGAGAAGCATTTACAAATAGATGAATTCAGCACATGCAATGTGATTCATCAAACCTGAGACAAAGGGTGTTGGCTGCTTTTGGATCTTTAAATAGCACGCCTGAAAGGCCTGTGTGAACGCCATTGCTGTGCGTAAGAAACCATAACAAGAATGTGTGGGCAAAATGAGAGGCGAAGGGGAAAGCAAATTTTTCCGCTTGTGTAAATCTGTGTGAAATGCCACATACAAAAAATAGTTCTTCTGTTCAATGATGCAGTCGTGCGTTATCACCTATGCCAAAACTCCTTTCATCTCTGCATTTATGTGGGTCTTGGTGATCTCAGCTCATGGTGGCAACTGGCCGTGACAAGTGGTGCTCCCAGGCTTTAAACACTATTTTATGCATTATAAAACCGGTGCAAAACTCTATATACAATTGTCAAGGTAACTTAAAAAAAAAGTATTTTACCTGGTAAATGCCTTCCCCCAAATTACCGCTGCGGCCAATTTCTTTCGTGTCGTGATATATTGGTTTCCCTTTTCCACTAACACTTTCAGTTCCATCACTTCAAATTTCATCTTGCACTTGCAGTGCTTTCCCAAATATTCTCTGGTGAAAACCATTAGCACTGCCTAAAAAACGAAACTTTTAAATAGAGCTGCCTCCATGCGCCACTTGCACACATTTTGCGAACTCCAGCGCAACCCGTGATTGTGAGTGAGCATGCAGTTTAGCGCCTGCTATTTGGGATCTTTTTTTTTCAAACGATTTTTGAAAAAGAGGGGGTCGTCTTATAATCAGGGCCGTCTTATATTCGGGCCAATACGGTCCTATACTGGACTTGCTGGGCAAGTAGTTGGTAATGTCACTTTGTCAACTTATTTTATGTCATTGTCTCAAAAGCGTGCCATGCGGACAGGGCTATTATACGGGAGAAACCTTTGCCTACTGTGTGAGTCCAGTGCTGAATTTCGACTGGTCGGTGTCACCTTGCAGTCAATGGATACTTTGGTGGTATTGTCAAACTCACTCAAATGAGCAGCATAGATCTAACAACGGCCATGTCACTTTCTATTGTTGTTGTATTAGAAAATGAATGAAGAATTTTTCATTGGCACTTCTGTGGAAATGCGTGAGTGTCTGTCAGCCGATAAAGTGTCATTCGCTTTCCTTCGGTTCTCGGGAAGCATCTTAAAAATACTCATGGTAAAAAAATGTCTTCAGAACAACAAGGAATGCAGCACGTTTATCTGCCGCTTATGCAGTAAGTAGTCTCGAGGTTTGGTGTCTGGTTTAGAATAATAATATTGCCAACTCATAAAAGATTGTGATCACCCATTTCAAAGCTTTGTGTTTTTCTATAAACACATGACTAGTGAGCCAAATAGCAAATGTGGTTGGAAACAATAAATACTACGTTACACTCAACACTACGAGGAAAAGCAGAACAAAAACAAATCTACCTTTTTAAAAACCTGTACTTCATCATTCATTAAAAAGCCCTTTTTTCCCATTTGGATACCATCATGTAGCTAACATCAGACATTTGTTTTTTGGGTGAAATTTCATGATGAACCGAAAGTGTGTACTATTACCTTTACAGGTTAACTTAGGTTCGAAAGTTTTGAATCCACATCTCCAACTGTTTATTTTGGAACACTTTACATAACTATAACAAGTAGCTGAATGGCAAAATTGCAAACTCTCCCAACAGTTCGATACATGAAAATGTCTCTCCCGACTCTTCCAGTTTGGGTATATCTGTTGGGACCTGTTGATTACACTTTGTGACACTCTAAGCTCAAGAACCACTGAGAACAGTGGCAAGGTACTTTTTGATGAATTGTCAAGACCTACTATTAAGACTTGTTCACTTATAAGCCTTGAGGCTGGGCGGTGCTGATGATAGAAATTTTCCAAACGAGCACAGGCCAAAGGTTTGAGTGTGCTGCTTATGGGGGTGGTCACATCCAACTTCAATAATGTCAACTCCTTTTGAGTTTTGCCGCCCACTGATATGATTTAAAAATATAACTCAAAGATTCGGAAGGTTTGATGGTTGTTGTTCACAAAGTTATGAATGAAGTACATCTCATTACACCAGCTGTCTACCCTGTGTTAGACGTGGCATTTGGTTTGGATTGATGTTCTGCCTCTAATTTGTGACAACGCAAGGTGCATCCCCAAGACACTCCCCCTGCTGCACTGACCCGCCCAACTTGGCTGTGATCCATCTGTCATATGAAAATCAAAATCTGCCAGCTTTTGCATTGCATTGCAGATGTACTCTCTATTAGAATAGAGCTCATAGATTTGGTCCTCCATTATATGCTTCTTTGGAGAAAGGAAGATTGTTTCAAACACAATCCCAAAACACACCACACCTGTTGTCCAACAGTTACACTACATTCCATTATAATACTGCATCGAATTTGCTTTGTAATCCATCCATCCATCCATTTTTTTAATCTGTTTATCCTAACAAGGGTCGCGGGGTGTGCTGGAGCCTATCTCAGCCGTCTTCGGGCAGTAGGCGGGGGACACCCTGAACTGGTTGCCAGCCAATCGCAGGGCACACATAGAAGAACAACCATTCGCACTCATATTAACACAAAGCTACTATTTAGAGTGATCCATTAACCTGCCATGCATTTTTTTTAAATGTGGTAGGAAACCGGAGTACCCGGAGAAAACCCACATGAGGACAACATCCAAAGTCCGCACAGGAAGGCCGGAGCCGGAATCAAACCTTGCACCTCTGCACTGTGAGGCCAAAGTGCTAACCAGTCCACCACCTGGCGTGAGCACGACAGATTGCAACAAAATGAAGTGGTACCAAGCCAAGATGAAACACTGCCCCCAGGATCAAACTAAAACAGAAAAGACTGGGTAACTCCAAACTGAGCAAGGACAATGGGTGGGAAAATCACTGACAATCTTTACAAATGGGGATTTGACACCAGCCCAGACTATCCATTTGGAGAAACAAAACAGTGAACCACATCCTTCATAAATACCAGTTGGGTCCTTAGTACTCCAATCAAGTCCTTAAGGGTACAAATAACATTGCCCATTCAACAATGAATGAAATTTTGGTGCGACAAAGTAAAAATGGATACCTAAAAACATAAACTTTTATTATTGGTGATGGTGTCAGAATATTATTATTTAATTGCATTTTTGAGCATTATTTTTTAATTTTTGACTTGTAAGAGAAGCTCAGTGAGCTGGTTCAAATTTGGGTATTAAAAGGTGAATTCCATTCGAAATGTGTCATTCTGTTGGATGCGGTAAAATGTCAAGAGCTCACTAAAAAGGCAAAATTTTGCATTAAGCGCTTCATAGTGCTCGATGATATTTATAACTGGCGGGCTAATACATTTTTAAGCACTGTACGTTGAATGGATGTGTCATGTCAATGTTGAGCTTTGAAGTTTTAATTTAATCATCAGCCATACATTATAAAGCAATCTGTTCTCAAATCGCTGCTGAGTCATAAACTGGTATGCATTCCTCTGCCTTTCAGTCATTATTAGAATGCTCGCATGGTAACAGTTTTTTAAAAATGGCTTTGGCTGGGACTTTGGCCTTTTGCTGTTCAATGGTGCCTCAAGATACACATTTGTTCTGTGACCACTCTTATTGTCATGATTCGGTTTGGGACCAACAGGTGGCACTGTAGGGCTCTCCCTGCAGCTGCACACCTGTTGGTCATTAGGTAATTAGTGGCTTTAAAAGGACTCCCAGCCCGAACAATCATTGTCGGGTCATTGTTGCTTTGTGCTACTGTCATGTTTGTTTGTTGCTGTTTCTCTGCTGCTGTCAGGTTTGTTTTGGTCATGGTTCTGTTTTAGCTTCAGTTATGATTTTTGTTTGCTACTTTGGACTATGTTTGTTTTGGATTTAGTTTTCTCTGTTCCAATACACTTCTTCAAATACACCCTGCTCCTCCCTCCTGCCTGCTTTTTGGGGTCCACCACCACCTCGCTACGTGACACTTATAACTCAAAACACTAATTACAGTTAGTATCTCAGATCACCTCTCTATATTTGAAATGAAAGAAAATGCCATGAATCTATTCCACCACCCCACCCCCCCAAAAAATTGTGTTTGTTTTCAATAAGGAAAAATAACACTTTGTAAGATTGTACAGTACACCATAAAGTCATGCAGTAAAAACAATGAAATGGAAAGAATTAATCCGTTTGTGAATCACGGTTTAATGCTCCAATTCTATTTGTTGTGTTATGCCTTCTGGTGTGCCGACCTTGGCCACTGGGTGGCAGTATAATATACAAGCAAAGAATATGAGTAATATTAGTCATTATAAGTATGAAAGGTATACCTCTATGCCTGTCAGTATTGTTATATTACCTGTCTACATGTATTGCTCCAACATTTGTGTTCAAATATCCATTGCTTAATGGGCTCTAAACTTGTGACTAGCGATGCAAACCACTATTTTATGAATTGTTCACTAGTGGTCAAACTTCTTTGTGAGTTAAGTTGAATTCACTGTCACTATAAAGTGGTCATATTTGAGGTTTGCACTTGCAAGTCCGGGCATAAAAATGAGTCAAATCCTAGCTCATACTTGGAAAAAAAATCCTAAATGGGGTAACTTGAATCTCAAGGCATCACTGTATTTAATACAATAATTGTAATGGGCCCGCTGCAGGGATTTGTAGAGTATGTGTCGACAGAAAAAGTCTGAGGCCCAACACAAAAACAGGACAACAAGAAAGGAGATCAGAGGAGTGACTACACTGTGATCATGGAGAGAGTGGACGACAAGACAACTTACTTGCAAGAAAGCTGGTTAATACCATGTATGAAGTAACAGTCACCACCGTTGATGCAGTAGGCCTTTTCCGTGTCATTGCAGTGCCTCACATGACTCACACCCGGGGACAAGGTGGTGGTGGTTACTATTAGGTAAATACAAGAAATGTAGGTTTTGTCAGTGAAATGCTGTCTTTGAAAAGAAAGGTGGTTTGTTGGCTATCCTACCACCGGCATAACTACTCATGTAAAAAGCCTCCACAAAAATATGCAACGAGGCAAACTTACAATGATGAACATAATACACCGCGGCATATTAAAATTGATAAGGCAATATAGCACAAACATCTATCTCAATATATAGGAAAGTTTGAAAGTATATAGCATTGGCAGCCTATTGATATATATTGATTAATATATGACCCAATACATTGTTGTCCAAACAAGTATTGCATTCCATTATTGCATGCCGAAATAATGTAAATTCATGAGTTACAGTAAGCATATTCCTACAGAGAATTACAGAGCGCTTCAGGAACAATAGTTCAAATCACATTTTGCATGACATTCGCGATATTTATGGATTGATTTATATTGCAAAATGTTGGTGACATAGACTATTATCGCATTATCATCAACAGCGACAGAAAAAAAAAGTGAAAGGGGGAAAACTAGTTAGAGTTGTTAAATGCTTACAGATGTGCACGCTGATAATACTTGTGACGTTTTCTTGTCCAACTGAGTTTTCAGCCACACAAGTGTAGTTTCCAGAGTCTTCCATGCGCACTCGACTGATCAGCACCTTGGAGTTTTTTCTGAAGAAGAAAAAAAATAATAATAATAATAATAAAACTAAAAAACAGTATATGGTGGGGATAGAGGCAGATGCACATTTGGTTCGGAAACGCCACATAGTGTTGCTGGGGTTTGTTCAGAAAAGACAAGATTTCAAGCACAGAAAGACTACAGTTTCCGTCATTCCATAGTTTACCGAATTTAAATTACTGTGACGTTGTTCAGCACCATCATCATCACTGTTGTCGTATTTCATTTCAGCCTTTCACTGTTGTCGGTTTAAATCGAGTAAAAGTGACCTTTTTAACTCTTCTTTGTATTTTAAACAGTAACAGAAGAAAGCAGCACTAAGTGAATATGTGAAGGACATTTTGCATTTTAACATTAAACATAACCCAACATTAACATAGGCAGTAAATTAAAAATATGAAAAAGATTTTTCTTAATCCTTCATTATAAACACTTTCAACAATACAACAAATGTAGAATGAGATAAAGAATGCAAAATAATAAATCATGCTTTGGCTGCTTGGTAGTTGCCAACTGCTTTTCAACGCACATGACTGCGATAGTAAGGTAAGAAATCAAGACTGTTTTGGACTGTGCTTCAATCATTTACAAAATGGATTTTCCACGTGATTGTCTGTTTTTTTTAACCCTTTCAAGGACAGCGGTTGCAACAGTGGAGAGTTTATCATGTTATCAGGTTCCAGGGTGCATGAAAGGGTTAATTCTGTTTTTCTTGCAGACATCAATTTGAGCGGGCAGGGAGGAAGCTACTCTACTTTTCGGCCTTGGTTAAAGTCTGCCCTCGACTGAGTGCTCTTGCGATCACTAAGTGGAGTTGAAAAGTCAAAAGTATGACGACATCACAATCAGTCAGTTTGGAGGACTTACTTGTTGGTTTTTATTCTGAGGTCTCTCCCTCGCTGAAGCTCATGTCCATCCTTGTACCAGCGGAAGGATGGACTTGGATTCCCTGACGCCTCGCACTTCAAGTACAGTTTGTCGCCTTCTATCAGAGACTGGCCTCGCATCAGTCGCAACTTTGGAACAGAGGCTGGGCAAAAAAGAGACATATTTTGTTTCACTTGTTTTAAGGTAATTAAACACACAAAAATATTTCACTCAGTTGCGTGAGTGCTGATTTGTATGTGCACGTATAGGTTGTGCATGTGCAGGTAGGCGTGTGTGTGAGCGGGTAGGTGTGTGTTTCACTGTGGTTAGGGCCAAACACAATCAGAAGCACTGACCATATTTGCAAACAAAATTCAAATGTTTATTCCATGAAATTGTATTCATTTATTCCCAACAACCGAATTCTAGTAAATATGGACATTAGATTTCTTTTTTTTTTGGCTGTCCAATCAGATTTCAGCCTCCTCGTGCTACCATATCAATCTAATCTGCCCAAGGCCTTCAGAATCAATCGTGCTGGCCAATGTAACTTAAACTATGTTAGCAAAAGAACTGCTTCTTAAAGCAATCACATTTCAAATTTGTCTTCACAGGGCTTGTGCCTTGACCCCAGGTGATGTCAGCATTTTTGCAAAGCTTGTTCCAACCAACTTCGACTAACACATCTCTACTGTGCACACATTAATACATTTAGTCATTAGCATTTCTAGTGTGGGTTATGTATTTTTTTTCATATGTCATGTTTTTGTCTGCTCTCGGAGTTTCGTACGTTTTCATTGTGTTTGTATAGTATTGATGGTTTCTATAATTGTAATGTAATAGTAGTGATATTAAGAGTTGGATCAAGTCCAATCAATTCTTACTGAAGGTTGTTATCCTTGTTTGACTGTTTTGTCGCGCGACATCTCGTCCCCAATGATGAAAGTGCAGTTAAAAGTCAGTGGAACTCATCAATTTGCATTGTAATGCAATGTTGATTTAGTCCACACACATACTATCCAGCAATGAAGGTAAAAGTACTGTTAAAAAGAAAAGGCAAGGGTCGTCATTCTCTGGCGGCTCCAGAAGCATTCCGCCCGTGTGACGATGACGGGCCAGGTGACCACAAAGGAAGGCTCAGCTATGGCTCTCATTCAAGTGAATGGGACTGTGCGCTCCTGATTTGATTTTTTTTTACCCAAAGTTTCAAATGTTTATAATACTCTGCGTGCCTTTTGATGTCAGTCTAATTTGCAATAGCGGACGATAATTATTGTGCATCCCTACTCTCATCACATGTTTTGCTTGGATATTTGGCAGGACCCAATAAGGGCATCATAAAGACTGAAATGTAATAACAATGTACCATATGTGGAGATGATATAAAATTTCATTGTGGGTATGGACATGACATTTAGACAGCCCAGTGACAAAATACCTAAGAGAGTATGTGCACTTTTCAAATGTGAATTACAAAGTCACTAAATACATTATAAAATATAATACCGTAATTCATGGTAAGTGTAGGAAAATGTCAACAAATGAGAATTATGATGTGATGAATGTTACAAATCAAACTAATACAATATTATCTTGGGTCACACAAACAGTTAAGTGACAGACTTCCAAATGATGTGTCGCGTGGAAAATATATAAGGTATGTTGAAGTCTTGCATATATTATAGCTGTTCAAACAATACATTTTTTTTGGGAACATTAAAGAAACACGCACACACGCACGCGCACACGCACACACACACAAATGTTGGTCAAATTTTAAATTATGAACAATCAGATATTTGACTGTATAAAAATGTCAAACTAATTATAAATAAATTCAATCTTTTTCAAAAGCGTGGCATTGGTCCTGTTTGGTGTTTTGTTTTGTTTTTTGTGTTAATTATACTTGCTGACCCTCCCAGCTGTCATCAATGCAATTATATGTTGAAAAGAAAAACTGTCTCTGCAGGGACGAAAACAAAATCAGAATTATTAAAGACGAACTAGTATACATTTTTTCCCCACAGATTTTGTCTGTAGAACCCAGCGGTCTTGATAACATGTATTTGACATGCTTTTGTCAAAATACTCCAACAACCACAAATGACAGCACACGTTTTACATTTTACTCTCTTTTGAGAGAGGAAAATAAAAAAATGCAGTTTTGAGAGGGTAGTCCTGTCTCACACAAACGAGCCACTGCTCACCCCGCCTATGTTGCTGTATATCCAAGCCCCAAGTCATGAAAGTCGGTGCTAGTGTTACCAGTGTGTGTTCCTGTGACTGTCATTCTTTAAAATACAAATTCATTATCAAGCACCACCAACAAATTGGCAACTTTACTGGTCAACTTTGCCCAGCCTGCCTGCACTGAGCCTCAGTTGCTCCTGATGAGAGAAGTGTAAAGCACTTGGGGCCAAGGGCGTAGACAGAAACTTTGGACTGTGGTTGCCAGGGTGAAACAACACCTCAGTGAGCTCAGTGTGGGGTGGCCATGCGTGTGTGCGTCGTTCTTTAACATACCATCCACAGTCAACGTTTCATGAGATCAAGTTCACACATAAAGAACACAGATCACGTTGTATGAACAAATTAGGCCGAAAACCAGGTGATGAACTCAACATACTCTTTCAACTGTATAACATAAGCAGAATTGTTTTTTAATCTTCAAGCAGCGTGTCATTTAAGATGAGACCAAATAGCATTTTTTAATATAACAAGTCTGAAATTTCTAATAGCATTCTGAGAGAAAAATAGCAAAAAACAAACAAAAAAAGCACTCTGTACTATGGACCCAAGATTTCAATGCATAATTTTCCCTCAAACAAAACATGAATGGGCCAAGACTGCAAATACACACATATTTCTTACAGTAATGATGTCATTAGATGTGACAATAATGTCTTTACTGTGTACTAATGAGCAAGCCTGGCCAAGTTAGTCTAATTGGTTACATATATCATCATTAGACAATATTGTAAATGTAATGCGGCAGCATTCTGCAACAAACTCACAGATGAGATTTTGAAGGTACAATCCTGTGTTTTGTTGCATCTTAGCCTGTCATGCTGAAGCTACCCTAAGCAGTCATTCAGATGAGATTTTTATGTCTTTATGAGCGTGGAAATGAATCGTAGAATGACTAAAGCAGCTGCAAAAGGAGGTTAACCTGGTTACAAATGAGCTCATCCTTTACTGGGATACGTCTCCTCGGGCACCGTGAGGCTTTTGTCAGCTGGCAAATGTTGGCTGAAAATCAGGAGGAAATTACCCCTCGTGGATAGAACATCCAAATTTCATGGCTATGGAGTAATTTTGTATCACTCTCCCTTTTTTTACTCTCTTTTAACATCTTTATTGTTGGCAATTTTGGGAGCACTATACGATCTTTGTGATTGTATTTCCAAAATTATTTCCAAAATAATAGCAGACATCATCACTGAACATGAGTTTGTTTTCCTGTGGACAATTTTGAAACTTTCTCCAGTCTGATTAACTCATTGATATCAAGCTGAAGTTCGATGATGACTTTCCCAGGAGAGAAAGTTGTTCCACACTCTAACACAAGTCACAGGGATTTGTGCATACTGTAACTGGGAAAAATAAGTATCTTTTTGTTGATGGAAAGTGTGGAAGACAGGAGTCCGTTTATTTAGCTAATTTCAAGAGCATTATCCAACAAATAATCTGTGTGTATTTCAGAGGGCATGTCTTAATTCAGATAGGTGTGTTTTAAGGAACATTTTTTGTCATGCAAATATGTTCAGACAGCAGCTGTAAAAAAAAAAAAAAGAAAAAAAAAAGAAAAGAAAAGCCACCGATAAGCATCAAGCGGGTATTCAACACTGCTCCTGCCATATATGGAGTCCCAAAGAACATCTCAATGCAGGATCCTCAAAAGGTAAGCCATAATCCTGGAAGCTACTGTATATTTTGGCAAGCCTCAAACAACTCATAAGGAGGAACATTTTCAGCAGACCAAAACAGAATTAACACTCAATTTCTTCCAGTTTAATTCAGTGATGAATCTCGTGCTACTTTGGTTAGTCCAGATGGATGGAGTTTTTGACGGTTGGTGGATGGCAAGCATCTCCCAACAAGCAGGAAGAAAATGGTGGAATTGAAGAGAACATTTTGGCCTGGAATAATGATGAAAAATAAAAGCAAGAATATCTACAAAATACATGGAGTTTCTCAACAACCATTTGCTGGATTGGTATGAAAAGAACTGTGCCTTCTGCAGTTAAATAGTTCTCATGCTAGATAATGTACAATCCCATTGTGCAAAAAATACCCATACCTGTAAAGATTGAAAAATCTCATGGTGTGACCACCACGATCCACTGAACCCAACCCGATAAAGGGTGGACGGCAGTATAACTCCAACCAGCAGCTCTCTGAGGCAATTACTTGAATCCACAAAAGGGAAGAACGCTGAAAATATTCCACGAATTTACAATTTCAATAAATTAAATAATCTAGATTTTTAATAACCCCCCACCCCCCAAAAAATTCTTAACTAGCTATTTTTTATACTGTTTTGCATAATAATGTACAACAATGTATCGTATGTAACATTTGGCACCCCCGAGGCTGGAACGTTGTATTACAACAACAGAAAAGAGCCATCGCTTCAACATGACTTGAGCCAATGCATTTTATGCTCCTTGTATGTGATTCTACAGTTTTATTCTGTTTTGAAAAAAAATTATGATTTGGAAGAGGTCATTTTTGTGAATTGCCCGTCGTTGCTGTGTTATGTAGCTGCACTGTATGGTGTCAAGGCACAATCTGCGGTCCACACATGCAATAAATTGGCCATCTTTTATCGCTAACTACAACAATAACACCAGAACAAAATACGTAAGTAGTGCCTGCACAAAGGGCAATGCTCATGCGTAAGGCGATATAGATAAATTCTATGAAAGATATATACAATATTTTGATAGCTAGCAAGCTAGATAGCTAGCTAGCAGTTAGCTTGCAAGCAAGATAGACAGACAGACAGACATTTACAGTATATTGACAGATTGATAAACAGATATGCCGATATTATGTATTTTTCTAATCGAGTTATCACGACTACTGTTGATATGTCAATGTGCAAAATAATCTGTGGCAGCCATCGTAGAAAGTAGTTTGTGTTTGTGTTAATATTTGTTC